AGGACTCATGGAAGGACTGCAGGAGGGTGGGCCCTGCCTTCAATAAATTCGATAATAAAGATTTCGCAACACACAGACAACCACCCCAAAATTCACTTGATGTAATAGGCGAATATGAGAGATATACACCGGAAGTGAGTTCTCTGAATAATAACATAAAAAAAAAAAAAACAAACAAAATGAAAAGGCATAATGAGATGCACAGACCTGAAGGGAATTGTCTTAAATGGCTGATTGTAATGAGATGTACATAAATTGTAAGGCTTGTAATGAAATAAAAAAAAAAATCATATTCTTGCCTGATAATACTGGGTATAATATCTACACCTGAAATAAGTCATCTCAGTGCGCTGAGTGTAATGAGATGCACATAATTTTAAAGAGTGTAATGAGATGAAAAATAAATCAAACACTTGTCTTAAAATGAAGGGTGCACTAAGATGCACACACCTGAAGGGCATTGTCCTAAATGGGTTCAATTTAATGCGATGCATTAATTTGCAAAGGGGCTAAATAAGATTGGCCCAGAGAGAGGCTGAGGAGTCTAAAAGTATAGGATACACTCAGTGGTGTAATAAAACCGGCTCCATCTGCCAGCTGGAAGTAAGATACTGACGTGGAAGCGAGACCAGTGTTCTGTCGGCCGGGGCCTGGGTGCCCTATCTTTGGCCTGTAATGCTCTGCACAGGTGAACTGCTCTTTGATCCTGGCTTGACATTAGCATATAGTAGTAGTTTATGTGGAAAAAGAAATTAGGAGAAGTTATCAAGCAAAGAACTTCAAAAGGCAACTGAAGGCTACCTTCTAGGAGCAGTGTTCCGGGAGAAAACACTAGTTTGGGGACATCTATACATATATTAACAAACCCGGTGAATGAGCCTCAAGGCTCATGACTGCTTCTAGAGGCCACCTGAGAAGTTAACATTGGAGGAGGAAGGGCACCGAGGGGCACCGAGAACATGAGGCACGGGTACCCCCGCAAAGGACTGTGGAAGTATCTTCACTTCCACAAACAGGTTGTCTCTAATACTTTGTTTCAAAGGCAGAGTTCTCCTGCACTCTGTCTCTGTCTCTGTCTCTGTCTCTCTGTCTCTGTGTCTCTGTCTCTCTCTCTCATCCAGGCTGGCCTTCAAGGCCTTGAACTCACTATCTTGCCCAAGTCGGTCTTGAGTGCTTGAGTTCACACAGCCTTTCTGCCTCAGCCTTCTGAGTACTGGGATTACAGGTATACGCCACCACACCCAGTGTATTTTCTCATTCTTCATGGAGTCATTGGTTTAGAGAAATAGTCTTTGAAACAACTACTTAGATGTTGGAGAGAAAGGGGGAAAAATGGTTGGGGAAGTAAAACCACCGAACAGCTAGCCACATAGGGAGAACCCCATCATAAGTAGCAGTTGATCCTCAGACTCAGTATTGGGGGACCTCTGGCATGGCCAGCATCACACATGGAAGAGTTGACCTTAGAGAGAAGCATTACTCAACCACAGGCAGTCATGGCCACGTGGGTTATAGGCCCCAAGTTGCCTGACGGCTCAAGACAGGAATCTGGTGGGAGTTTTCTTTTTTCTTATGCACAATATTTCAATTTTCAAGTGCTGGCACAAAAAAATTAACAATTGATGGTCCAGAGAAAACAGAACTGCCAGCAGAGTTCAGCCGATCACACCTGAGAGTCTCTTACTTGTAACTCGGAGTGATAAAACTAGGATTGGGGAGCATTTGGTCTAACCATTATGGAGACCTCACAGGACATTTTCAGACTTTGTCTTCTAAAGTGTAAACTCCTCCAAAGACAAGAACTGTGCTGATCACAGCTGTACCTTAATGAATATACCAGCGCTTGGGATGCAGTGGGAGCTCCAAAGAGGAGCAACCTATCAGGAGTCAGGTGGAGGGGCTGCGGAGATGGCTCAGTGGAATAAGCACTTCCCTGGCAAGTGCAAGGGCCTGAGTTCAATCCCTGGTTCCACCAAAAAAAAAAAAAAAAAAAAGAAAGAAAGAAAGGAGTCAGGTGGGGCAAGCAGCAGTGTCACTGCTCTTACAGGGCCCATCCATGCAGGGCAGAGGGGGACTCCTGGGTCAAGGACGCTCAGCTCTGGCCACCAACTCTCACGCCAGGATCTCTAAACATGAGAGGTCTTTCCTGATGGGCCAGGAGTACAAGGTGGAAGTTTCTCTGAGCAGTTTGTAGGCTCCTAACATCAGAGTTTCACTTTGAGATAAAGGAAACTTCCCACGCCCTCTGCCACTGTCCCAGCTCTCTTCCCACCACACAGTCACAGCAGGTCGTCTGCTAGGGTTGGGTAGCATTTGGGTCACACAGAGAAAGGAGTTGCTGCTTCTTCAAAATACAACTTCTCACAGCCCAAATGATCCTGACAGCTGCTTTTTAGGGTCAGGACAGTACACACCTGTAGTTCCAGTACCTGGGAGCCTGCGGAAGGAAGATCACTGAGAGGCCGCCGTAGGTTACCGACTACCTAGTGAGTCCAAGGCTGAACTACACAGCAAGACTCTGCCTCGAAAATAAATGAACAGGCCGGCCAGACAGCTCAGTGGACTAAAGTGCCTGCTTTGGTAGAGAGCAGCAGCCGGGGTCCCCGGCCTGTGGTGCCTGCCCCGCCCCCTGGACAGGCTGAGATGGTAACTGAGACTAGGCATGGTGATATGGGCCTGTAATGCCAGCGCTTAGGAGGGTGAGAACAGGAGGATCACTACGAGTTTGATCTACCTAGAGAGACCCTGTAGACCCTGTACTAAATACATAAAAATAAAAATCTTTTATTTTTTGTATTTAGGAGAAGGATCTACAGGGTGTTCAGGGTCTCACTACTAGATTGGACTCATAGTGATCTGCCTGTTTACAGCCTCCCAAGAACTGAGATTACAGGTGTGCACCACGCCCAGTCTAAATTGCCATCTCAGCGCGCCAGGGATGGGACCAGCGTGGCAAGACGGGGATCGAACCCCCAGCCCCTGCATCTGCTTGCAGGCACCTTAATCCACTGAGCTATTTGGCTGGCCCCAAAAATAAAAATCTGTTATTCATTTTTTGGTACAGGGTCTCGCTATACAGCTTGGACTCGTAGTGATCCTCCTGTGTCAGCCTCCGCAGTGCTGGGATTACAGGCATACGCCACCACGCCTAGTTTCAGGGTCGGCACAGTGCACTTGGGGGTTCTGGGGCTGCACAGCAAGTGGTACCAGCGATCCAACCCAGGTTGTTGCACTTGCCAGGCAGTCGTTTAGACCACTGAGCTATCCCCCCAGCCTTTTCTTTCTTTCTTTCTTTCTTTCTTTCTTTCTTTCTTTCTTTCTTTCTTTCTTTCTTTCTTCCTTCCTTCCTTCCTTCTTTCCTTCCTTCCTTCCTTCCACCTTCCTTCCTTCCCTCCCTCCTTCCCCTTTCGGCTTTGTCCCTTCCTCCTTTTCTTTTGTGTGCTGCTGGGGCTCTAGCCTCGAGCCTCATGCAGGCTAAGCAAGTTCACACCAGTGGGCTACACCTTCCAACTCTAGAACAGTATTCCCTAACATGTGTTTGGCAAAAACTCTGTTCTCAAATAGATATTACACACCTGATGGGGGGGTGGGTCAAAAATCTGGGGAATATCTGAAACAAAGCTTTAAAGGTTTCTTTCTCAGCAGGACTTTCGGAGCCTTTACCATACTGAAGTGCATTATGAAACTCTCCTAACAAAATGTACCATGCAGTAAATACTATAGTACAAGGCAAATTTGCCTACAGATCTTTTCCTTGGTAGTTAATCTTTACAATTTTTCCTTGGAGATACTGCTTTAGAAGCCCGGCCAGTGAGCTTCTAATACATCGCCTTCTTGAGGATCTTGACTTTTTCTCTCCGCCCAGAGTGAGGAAGTCCCTGCTGGGCTCATAGAACTCCCTCCAGGTGATGGTAGAGCTGGGCTCTAGGACGACAGTGATGTGGGGAACCCCTCAGAGCCCTTGGGCCCCCGCTTCACGATCGCTCCTTTCCGCTTCCCCCGGCCCCCTCCAGGGGGCCCCGGGGTGTGTGCACATTCTGCAGCCTTCCTGAGCAGCGAGGCGGAACCAACCTGCTCCCGCAGGTGCGCCGCACAGCTCAGCAGCAGGGGCCAGGGGAGGCAAGCTCCAGTCTGAGGTTGGCAAGAAAGCCCCTCACACGGGGAACTAAGCTGCCCCAAACAACTTCTTGTTTCAGGAACCTTCTAGGACAGCCTTCCCACCTCCCACAGACATAACCCCTGGTTAAAGGTGACTCGAGAGCGAGAGCGCACCTCCTCTGGGTTGCTGGGACCTTCCACCCCGCCTGAGGGCGGCTGAGGTGTGGTATATTGGTGGCGCTAGCTCGGTTAATGACACATGGGGTGGGGGCCTGGGGGGCTGGGGCGGGGACGGGGGCAGGGGCGTGGTGGCCAGGATGGAGATGGGGAATACAAAGGCGCTGGAGGGAGGTGGAGAAAGGGGACTCTGCGCTGCAGGGGGGGGAGTGTGTCAGGAGATGGCAGCATGGAGCTTCCTGCTGTCCTCTATGAGCTCTTGGTTTTAGAGTTAGACACACGCAAAGGTGCCAAATTTCACCATTTTCTTCCCCTGACAGATGGGGGAGTAACAGGTTACCTACAGAGCCTTCTCCCATGCCCCTTTCTGTGGGTGGTCACTGAAGCGGAGTAGACGCTGAGGTCTCCAAATTCTGTAGGGCCCAGGATCCCACTAAAGAACGAAGGGGCCTGCACAGCGGCCACAGAAAGAGTTGCGCACCAGGGTCATGGTAGGTAAGAAGATTTACTGAAACTTCTCGGCCACATTCAGTGCTGGGTTGGTGGGTACATTGGAGAGAGGCTGCATAACACTAGGCAGGTGGGGGGGGGGGCTGGAGGAAGCGATGTGGGCGAGTGGGAGCGGCTGTGCCTGCGCGGCTGGGATGCTGCGAAGAGGCGAGTGGGCGAGGGTGTGTGTGTGTGTGTGTGTGTGTGTGTGTGTACATTTAACAAGAAAAATGAACTGGAAGAAGAAATGCATTTTATCCCACTGCACATTGCAAAAGTCTCACGCCAGAAAAGCTAGACTTTCCTCTACCTATGGCATCAAAAGGGAGTAAAAAAATGATTGGATCACCCAGATTATAAATAAGGTTATTTGTTTCTCAAAAATCCCTATTAAAACATTAAATATCAGCTCTTTTGGGGAAGAAATACATTCATTTCGGGGAGACCTCAGGAAAGCGACTATCCTTCTGCTCCGCCCCAACCAAGTAGGGGAGGGGAAGCCCCAGAGGACGCTGAGGTTCCCTCCAGTTGAGCCAGGTAGCCACTCACATCATGCCACTGAAGGAGATGGCTAATGCACAATTTACAAATGAAACTGCATGTCCGTCAAATTAAACCCAATGGGAAACACGTGTGACCAGTCCTGTCCTTCACAGCCGTAGGGTGGGAGGAAGCAGGAGGAGAGGTGCCCACGATGGGAGCCTGGAAGCAGGGCTGGGAGAAGGTGCTCAAGGGCAGATTGGAAGCCTCCTCCTGCCCGCAGCTCCAGTTCCTCCAGCGCCGTGCACAGTGCGGGTGTGCACGGTGAGGTGCCTGGGGTGAGCACTCTGCAGGCTCTTGCGTGCCACCCCTTCTCCAAACCCTGCCTTCCCTTCCATTGGCTGCTGCTTCTTTCCATGCTTCTCTTGTCTTTTTGAAGGACAAAACAAAGAAGAGAGGCTGGAGGCTCCTAGAGTCAGCCGGGAAGCAGGGAACAGCCACGATGGCCTACAGGGTAGGAAGATTCCAAGTCATTCTGGCTCTGCTCTCTGAAGGTCTGTGGAGGGCCTGGAACATCTGAGGCGCTTCATTTGAGGATGGGAACATCTAGGTAAGACACCGTTGTCCTGCTGTCATAGGAACTGAGTTCTATGACCACCTAGTCCCAAAGTCACCTTGATATGGCTCCCAGTCCAGGTTCTCCTGGAGCCAACCCAGACGAAGGACTCCTTCAGCCTCTTATGGGTTGAGCCCAGTAGCTAACAATGTGTTTCCAGGAGAAAGAGAAGGAGGCCTTGCTGGCTCCCTTCCCCCCTCCCACTTCTGTGGTGGCTGTGCCCACAGACAGGCCCTGGGGCCCTGTAGAGTCCAGGTCCCACACTGGTCTGCAAGAGCTGTTGCTTCAGGCCCTCCCCTCCTCCAGCTTCTGATTATGCTTTTGGGATCCCTCTTGCCTTTGAGCAGAAATCCTTGGGGTGAGGGTGGTGTCACCCTTCCCTCTTAAGTCATCCCTTGGCAAAAGCCTACTCTGCAAACACCGGTCCACCTCTTGGTGCAGGGCTTGTACACAGTGAGGTACATGGGATCCACTGGCACCAACTGTCCTCAAGAATTGGGTAAATCCAGATCTCAGTCTTGTCTTTCCATAAAGACTGCTTGATGGCTCTGCCGATGGAGTCCGCTCCAGCTCTAGGGAAGCAGACTGCGTGTTCGCTGAAGCCTGGTGGTCAGGAAGGAGCAGGGGGTCTCCTCTGTGCCTCCTCAAGCTACTGATTTGGGGAAGTGAGGGCCCAGCTTCCTCAGTGCTGTCTGGCCACGCCCTCCCCCCACCCGGAACCCTCCTGATGCCACCCGTCTACAGCTCGGAGATCAGCACCACGTGGGCTGTGACTACTCCAGGGAGTCACTGTGTTCCAAGCCCAGGTCACTGACATTTGTGGTTTGCAGCTCATCAGCTTCCTCCTCAAGCTCCTCCTCCTCCTCCTCTTCCTCCATCTCGTCCTCATCCTCTTCTTCTGTCCCATCCAGAGAGTCATCATGCGCAGCCATCATAGCTTGCTGCATGGCCATGGTGGCATTGTCTGAGGACAGGGACTGCAGGTTGTCCAAATTGATGGAGCCTGCATGAGAAAGGGCAAAGGTCACAACCACACGAAGGCCATCATCAAGCCCAGTGGCCTCCAGGTTGGACAAGGTTGAATGGACAAGGTCATGGGGTGGTGAGCTCCTTGTAGCCAAGAGAACCCAACCCTAACTAGGCCATTCCCCCACCCCTTGCTCCTTAACCACTTCCTGTCCCCATGACGAACTGCAGCACTCCAGTCCCCATGTCCTCAGCCTCTCCCATATAAATGCAAGGGAGAGAGAGAAAGACAGTGAGCACTTAAATGGAGAAAAGCTGGTTACAGTAGGAGACACACTGCCAAGAAGGACGAGGTAAGTGTATGTGGAACAAGTGAATATTCTGAGAGGGCCTAATGGCAGTGCGTCTTTTGCTGCAATAAATTAAATGTATTTTTGTTTTAAAAACATTAAATGTATTTTTGATGAATTCTCATGGATCAAACACTTACGGCAATTTCTGTCAAACATCTTATAGTGCGTCCTCATCAACCTTATTAATCAGATTTGACACCAGGTGATTTCTGACTCTCCCCCAAAGTAAAAGAGACCATGAAAGGTAAGTGGTTTGAATCGATCCCGGACTTTGAAGTAGCCACAACAGTACGACTAAAGATGAGTCCTAAAGATGACTCCCAGAGCTGCCTCAGCACAGCTAGGATAAGCGTATTCAAAGGGCGGGGAAGATTTTAAAGGGGGCCGAATGATTGTGTCTTTGGCTGTAATACATTTTTAAAAATTTAAACATTCACCATATTTTTCGATCGCACCTCCGAGATGAAGCACTTTTGACTTTCTAATCATCCTGTAAGGCAGGAATTATTGTTCTGAAATGGAGTCTTAGAGAGTGAAGTCATTAGCTCGGCCTCACATGGTGACAGTCGTTGGGACTCTCTTGGGCTGCCCTGGCCCCAAGTCTGTTTATTTCAACCACAACCTATAAGGTGCTGCCTCCATACTGAGCCTTGTACAACCACAGACAGGCACGGATGGATGCACGGATGCGTGTGTGCACACTCGCACACCTCCACCCTGCTGCTCACACACCCGTGTGCTAGCTTCACACACCCAGCTCTAAAGCGTCTGTCAGATTGAATTATTCATTGTGTACTAGGGGCTGGCAATCAGGAGATATGTGTGGGGCTGTGAGGCAGAAGCTGGGAAAGCGGAGCTCTTCCTGGCCTCTGTTCGCAAGCCAGCTGCCTGCGTGGTATTTATAGATGGCCTGGGTCTTGGGGAGCTGTGCGGGCACTGAGTGCGCTGAGCTGTGGGGGCGGTGGAGGAGCGGAGGGGCTCTGCTGAGCAGCCACTGACTGCCTCCAGCTCCCACCTTTCCAAGGGACCGCTTCAGCTTGCAATAAGGGGTACAAAGGCATCCCCTTCTTTAAGGATCTGATGGAGATGTGGGAGGGACAGCCACATGGTTCCAAGTAGGGAGCCGATCCTTGAATCTGCTTTCCAGGAGCCCTCCCCTCAGGTGCCCTCAGCCCAGCTCCTACCGTCGGGGTTTGTCCCTGGGGTGCCGCCCTGCTGCTGTAGCACACCAGCAGCGATGGAGTTGGGCCAGAATCTTTGGGTGGGCCGGTGCTGAGACTTGATCTTCTTGGCTTTGGGGGCAGGGTCTGGGTTGCTGGCATCGAGCATGGGCTGCAGAATGCGTCTCCGGGCGTTGATGAACCTGTCCAGGGTAAAAGTGGTGACCAGGTTAGTTCCCATGTGGGCAATGCTGGTGGGGGCTGGCAGCAGAGAGGGCTAGGCTGTCCCAGACTTCACTGGGCAGAGTGGGTGTTGTTTCAGTTCAGGAGGTGGAAGCAGAGACAAGGGCCGAGTTACTAAAAGGAGCTCATGGAATCCCCTGGGGCTTGGTCCCTACCAAGTAATTAGGGAAAAACACATGTGGAGAGATCAGAAATGCAATCAAAATCTGTCAGGATGGAACAGAGGAGGAAAAAGATGAAGTCATGGGCGCCAGCCTCCGACTTCTCTGCAGAGGGCTGAAGGCTCAGATCTGGGACCCCGTCTCTAGAGTCCACTGCCATCCAGCTGGACACAAGCAGATGGAGAAAGCCGAGATCCCTGAGAATGGTGGCTCTCACCCTCCTTTCTGCTCCTAAGTTTATCAGAATGCTCTCGTTTCAGTTCACACGAAAGGTATAGGCCTAGGAATTTCAGCCCATTTCTGTGGGACAGGTGGGGCAGGACTCTTGCGTCAGAAAATTCCAGGGATGCACCTGACACAACTGACCAGCAGAGGGCGCGAAGAAGCTGCAAATGGATCCATAGATGCCAATGTTGATTTTGCCATTAGCCCAAGGAGCAGAATCGGCCTGGCAGCCAGCTGGGCTCAGCCTGAAGCAAGTCCAGGCATTCTATCTCTTTCCCCTGCTCTCCGCTCCTTTGCCAAGTATGTGGCCCTTGGATCTGAGAGCCTTTGGGCAGGTGATGCTAACTCACCAGTTGTTTACTTGCAGGAGTGTGAGGTTTGTCTGGGCTGCGATCTGTCTCTTCTCGTCCTCCGTGGGGTAGGGGTGCTGAAATGAGAGGCGAAGGGCTAGTGAGGAGTGTGCGCGTAGCAGCAGGTCCCTCTGGAGGCCATCCCTGTGTCATGGGAGGCGCCCTGGCCCTGTCAGCCCTCGTGGATCGGGAGCCCAAGCTGTGGAAAGTGCACTATTTGCTGCTCAGAGGCGACGGGGCTTGGGCTTAGGCAGAGACCCCCAGTGCCTGCGGTTCCCTCAGGCCAGCTTCCCAGTGAGCACCAGAGTGGGTGCCATAAGGACAGCCCCCAAGGCACCTCTGCGCCCCTTTCACTTGACGCAGCAGGCGGGCCTGCCTTCTCAGTGCTAGGGCTTACAGCTGGCTCCGGGGCCCACGGAAGATGGAAACTGCGGTGAATAGATCAATTCAATTTAAATTAACTGATATTTACTAAGTGTACAGGTTTATGCTAGCCATTCTTAGGAGACGCAAGATAAATATCATGATAGCAGCATTGGTCCAGGACTTTATAACCTAAGAAATAGCTTTGTACACTTAACTTCATTTAATCGCGCCTGTCCTTTGTCAGATAGGCAGGTTAGCGATTTTTCTTTTGAGACAGGGTCTCGCCATGTAGTTCAGGCTGCTCTTGAACTTACTGTGTAGCCCAGCCGGCCTCACACTCAAGGTGACCCTCCTGGCTCGGCCTCCCGAGTGCTGGGATTACAGGTGTGCACCGCCCCACCTGGCGAGGAAGCGTATTCCCCTCTTTGCAGATGAAGGGACGGAATGACTTTCCCCCTGCTGTTCAACTTGTGGCACCTCAGTCCTGCCGACTGTGGCCCCGTCTTCTCACAGCACCACCTGGTAGGCCTGAGTCTTTGGGGAGAGGGTGCGTGGTCTAGGTGACTTCATGAGGGCACCATGTATATGAATGTGTCCCCAGTGCCTTGCACATACAAGTGACTGCCAAGCGAATTAAAAATAAAAAGCAGTAGGTGCCGTGGCTGGAAGCTTAGGGGTGCTGTGTGATAGCGTTAGTGTGCGTGCAGTGCTGACTGGGTCCCAAAGAATGAGGGAGTCTGAGGAAGGCGTCTGGGGGCCGCTGGGGCTGAGCCACGGACACTAGGTCTACGCGTCTCAGATCTTCCACAGGTCCCGGGGTCGTGTCTGGCACCCAGTGGGCACAGCCAACACCTGAATAGGTCAGAGCTTTGCTCTAGAGACTAGGGGAGACTTGGGGGCCACGCAGCACCCCCAGACCAGGGTCATTCTTTCTGACTGTGCTGGTAATACAAGGTCCCAGAGATCGAGACTGAGGCGACATCCTGAGCAGCTGCGAGGTCTTGGGTTGCTGCTTAACCATGCATCAGAAAGCCAGTGCTTAAATGAAATTGTGCTTGGAATAAAGGGCTCAATAAAAAAAGGTAGTTCTCCGTGTTATTATGATGGGATAATGTGGGCAGGGTGTTTAAAGCTCTCCAAGGAAGGAGTCGGATGGACTGCCTCGGAAGTGCCCTCGTTCCCAGTGACAAAGGTGAGCAACCTCTTTGGCCGGCCTCCGCATCCCCTGACTGCAGCAGTCAGGATCACATAGTGTTTTAATTCACACTTCTGACCCTGACCACCAGGCCAGGCAGCTTGGGACTTGTGATTCATGCAATGTTAAGATTCTAACAAGAGGGAAGGTACATCAGTGCTCCAGGAACCAAGCTCGTGCTAATTGGGAAGCAGCAGAGGGCGGCTGGAAGGGGAGGCCGCAGGCCCTGAGGGCAGAGGCGAGGACCGGAGACCCCCCCACTCAGGGCAAGGAGCCAAGCGGCCTCTTCATCCACAGCCAACCAGGCTGGGAGCCAGAGTTCTCCCTTATCATCCGCAGGGCACTGGTTCTAAGACCCATGGGTGCTCCAGTGCTTGTGTAAAGTAATGCCGCATTTGTATACAATATAATGCCCAACCTTCTGTGCCCTTTAAGTTACCTCTATGTTACTTACGATACCTCAGACAATGTAAATACTATGGCAGTAGTTGTTAGACTGCATTATGTAGGAAATAATGACAAGGAAAAAATCTGTACATGTTCAGTACTGGCCCATACGCTTTCAAATGTTTCCAATTCCTAGTTGGTTGAATCTGAAGATATGGAACCTGGCATACGAGGGCTGAGCGCATGACAGGAACACAGTGGTCTTTTCCCTTCAGCCTTGCGCATGCTGTCCCCACCACTGGGATGCTCTTCCTCCTTCCTTTCCACTTCTGGCCTTTCTGAGTCGCAGTGAGTCTGTCACCTGTCATATCCTCAGAGAGGCTTTTCCCAAAGTCCTGAGGCAAAGTTGGTCACACTGCCTCTGAAAGAGGGCATGGAGCCAGTCATATGGTCATATGTACCCCTAGGAGGCACTCCCGCTCCACTCCCTGTCTCCTGCTGCAGGGTTCAGGTCAACGATTCTGTATGCGCACAGGGAGGAGACGCAGACTTGTTTCCTGGGTAGAACTGGGCTGGCCTTGCTGAGCAAGCTGGGTCATTGGCCCACCCTGGCCAGGTGTCTGCTGCATCCTGGGTGCAGGCAGTGGAACATATCTGATGTTAAGAGCGTTTCTGTGGGGCCGGGGAGGTGGCTCAGTAGAATAAGCGCTTGCCTGACAAGCACAAGGGCCTGAGTTCAATACCCGGTTCCGCAAAAAAAAAAAAAAAAAAAAAAAAAAAAAAAAGAGTGTTTCTGCTTAGATGGCAAGGGGTGGACATCTCTATTAAAGGGGAGTTCAAACACCCTGGAATGGTAAGAGAAGGATGGGCAGGACTTATCCAGAAAAATCTCCTGAGGGAGGAGGTCCCTGTCTTTGAAGAGTAACCAAGACACTGCAGTAGAGGAAGAGGAGATGAAGGCAGGCTCCGTGGGCCAGGACTCAGAGTTAAGTCGGTCTAGGAAAAGTCCCAGAGAGGGAGGCGTCCAGGCCCCATGGAAGGATGCTGTTGCTGTTTCTGAGGAGGCTTCTAACGGGCTGTCACAAGGGCTTACCACGCTCCCATCTAATGGAGAGCTACGAAGGGTGGTGCAGGCACAAACTGCGTGATGGTTCTCTTAGGAATGAGAATACAAGCCCCCAACTACCTCACTACCGGCCCCACCTCTTCCCAGAGCCCCAGCTCAGGAGGTGCACAGTGCAGGTGGCAGCTGAGCAGCGGCATTTAGCCCAGCCTTGGGAACAGGTGCGTCAGCCAGAACATTCCGGGCACCACCTCGGAGTGCTCATGGGAGCGGCCCAGCTTGTACACGTCTCGGACCACATGAGTCCTGAGGACAAAACTAAAATAGTACTGGCCCCTGGACAGAAGGGATTGGGTCAGTGCTGCTTATAGCGCCACTGGAGAGGTTTGGGGCCAAGGACGGAGGAGGAATGAATGAGGTCACGGGAAGGCACTGAGCCTGGTAGCTGCTCTCTGATTATTTGGAGCAACTCTTCTGGAAGAGGATGGAGAGGGCCCAGGCAGCACTGTTCTGGAAATGGACAGTACTCCTTAAACAAGAAGTGAAAATGTTCCAGATCACTTTTCAGAGCCAGTTGAAGACGCCATAATTGAACAGTGCTACCTGGTGGTAAAGAGCCCGTGGAGATCGGTCAAGCTCTGCCTGTCTTGGCAGCCGTGGGACCTCGGGTCCTTGTTTTATGTCTTCCAGCCTTAGCTGACTCTGCTTACCAGGGGAACAGCAAAATGACACTCATCTCTTGGACTTGGGCATGGCTTAGAGATGGCACTGGTACACGTGTGCCACTGACTCACCACTCAACTCCCTGAAGCATCCTAGATGTCACAGGGCTGAGTATTTAGGGGCCCCAGAAGCTGAAAAGTGCAGCATTTATACTACGTGGGTGTTTCGTGGCACTGTAGCTGCCACCAGGAAGTTCCTGTGAAATCTAACCTACGTCCCTCCTGCTGTCTCTCCTACTTCCCTTTACAGCTCCAAAGCACAGAGTCATCTGGCCTCGGATGACAGTGAAAGTGGCTTTCAGAGTGAAGAGTGATTTGTGCCTGGGCCTGGTCAGAAGGAAGTGACGCCTGCTCTGGTTCCTAGTTCCCTGGCCGCTTTTTCCATCAGACCCACCTGTGATTGTCCTTCCCCCTCCCAGCCCACGCACTTCTCATCATGAGGCTGGCCAGGTCACCAAGGGGCTACGGGGCGCAGCCTGTGGGAGTCAGCAGACCCTGTGCCGTCTCTGGAGAGGCCTGGAGTCCAGCTCACAGCAGGCGCCTTTGTTCACATTTCCAGCCATCACTGGCATGCTCTTTCTTCTCCCCACGCCTGACAATTGTGGGGCTCCGGGCCACCGTGTGCCACCCACTGCTCAGGAGGGGAGACCCCCTAGCGAGAGGTGACTGGCAGGTGAGGGGCCCTAAGCAAACATGTTCCATTGCCTCTGAGATGCCACTGAGGGAGGGTGTACCCCGATTCCAAAGGTGCTGAAATGGAACAGGAAGCCTGGAGGAGGAGGAAGAGGACTGTGACAGTTTCTTCTGCTATAACTGGTTTGGACCTTCCATTATTTTTTCTCTCCTTTTTGCCCCTGTTCTTTTTAAGCCAGGCAAATACAAAGAACTAAGATGCTTAGTCTCATGTCTTATCACAAAACAAACACTTGCGTAACCACTCCCAAGTCCAGAGCTAGAGTACTACAGAAAGCCAAGCACCTGTTATGCCCTCTCTCGACCTCCCCATAGATCTCCATCTATGATGGTGATTATCTGCTTACTTTTCTTTATAGTTTTATCATCTGTATCACATCCTTCAACACGATGGCTCAGTTTTGCTTGGGTTTTTTAGGACAGGGTCTACAGGGTCTCACTGCGTAGATCAGACTTATAGTGATGCTTCTGTTTACAGCCTCCCAAGTGCTGGGATAACAGGCACACACCACCATACCCAGTCTCAACAGCCATCTCAGCATGCCCCAGGGGTGAGGCTGGCACCGCAAACCCGGGGATTGAACTCACGGCCCCTGCATCTGCCTAAGCAGGTGCTTTAGTCCACTGAGCTATTTGGCCAGACCTTTGCTT